ATCTGTCTCCGGGTCATAGGCAAAGGCGCTCAAGGATGTCTGCCGCCGCCGGGACTTGCTTAAGGTATTTTCGGTATCATCCCATTCATCATCGGAATCATCGAGGAAGCATGGCTCAACCTCAACCAGAAGCTCTCGCAAATCGCCGCAGAGAGACAACATTGAAGGAAAATTGAGAAGCTGGCAAATGCCTGAGCCAAGGTATGATGAAGAATCAGGCTGATACGAGGGACATGGTGCTTTGATAACTTTAATAAAACTTGTCTGCCAAACAGTGAAGTTCCACTAATGATGTCTCCACTTCAGGGCCTGCACCAAAAATCAAAAAGCTTGCAGTATGAAAAACTGCTCGAGCACATCGCCCATACTTCACGGCCATTGACTGATATTGACTGAAGTCACCCTATGCACACTTTTCTCCGTGTGCGCTGAATCCAATGGTCCCAGCTAGGACAGAGCCTCAAGTGCCTAAAGGCCCCAACAGATGTCCAAACTAATTGTGCTCACAGGCGACCTTCCCCTGTTAGTGGGAGAGCTGAGCAAAGGTCACCCACTGCAACATGCCACACACATTTGCCTGCAATATGATGCCATGATCATCCATGATCTATCAAGTATTATCAAGTTACATATAATCATAGTTACACTAAGTTACGCATCCGCACTTCTTTCAACATCATTTCAAAATGTGCCTTTCGTACTTAGGCAATATGAGGAACTCCTGGTAGATCGCCAATCGTGAGGCTCTAGCAAAGGCTCATTTTCCGTTTCCGTGCGATCCAAACCGACTGGTGCACACACTATTTAAGTTACTATTTGAGCTCAAAAGCCCGCAAGTCCGCGCCCACCTTTCTACACAAAATCTCAACTCGATTCCTTTTCAGCCAATGATAAACATTTGCGGGAAAACTACTAAAACCACAGCAATCAGTTGGCTAAGCGGGCACAGGTCTGCTGAGCAACCAACTAATCACTCCACTATGCAAACGCCCACCGCACTGCCTGCGCACCTGCCACTGTTGCACCGTTGCACTTGATAGCTAATACTAGTGGATCAAAGGAGCAATCCAAATTTGAATCCAAATCTTTCAATCTATGATCCTCATCTGTTTCGGTGCTGAACTTGGCTCTATTAGGCGATAATTAGATCAATTGTGACGCTGCGCAGCTCTCTGAGGTGCTATTGAAAGCCAAAAACAGCATGGTGTAGGTATTGTGGCGTTTGGGTTTCTTTCACCTTAAAATCCGTTATATATGGGATAGTCGCGAGCACCAAATCTCCGTGGGCACTGCCGGACCACAACCGCGAGCACCAGATCTCAGTGGGCACGCCCACTGAGATCTGGCGGTACCCATGTCGGAGAGAATGTCAGAATAGATGCCAGATAGAATGCCGGAACAGAATGTAGATGGAATGCAAGAATGAATGCCAGAATAAATGCCGGAAAGAATGCCAGCATAAATGCCAGATAGAATGCTATGACGTCAGAATAGATGCCAAATAGAATGCCAGAATAGAATGTCAGATTGAATGCCAAATAGATTATCAGAAAGAATACCGGATAGAATGCAAGAGAAAATGTCAGAATAGATGCTAGCAATAATGCCAAATAGGATGTCAGAATAGATGCCAAATAGAATGCCAGAATATGACATCAGATTATATACATATAATAATAATAATAATATATGCCATATATACATATGTATGTACAGAAAATATATACTTCCAAATGAGATACGAGAAGCTATGACAAAACAATGTCATGGTGGGGGTCACTCGAAGTATAGTTTTTTAAAATACTGCTTTTAATATATTTGAATGGCATCCCAGTGTTGCACATCAAAATTGGCTGGAATGCCCCGGGCCACCAGCTAGTCGTAGGTGGCTGAAAACGTCTTTTTACTTCCAACGGCCAAAAAAAGATGCGGTTTACCATGGTTTACCATGATTTGCCATGGGCCTCACCGTCAAAAAATGGTGGGTAAACTATGGCAAACTTGGTAGCAGTTGGTAGCATGTTATGACTTGATCCATGGCCATATGAAGATCTTAGTGGATCAACCCCACTGAAGGCACCTAGGGTTGCCCTCTGCTCCGCATTCAGAAGTGGTGGCTAGTCCTTAAAGCGCTGGAAGGCAGAAAGTAGTGTAAGTAATTTTTGACCCGGTTGTTCCTAAAGGTTTTGGTTGTGTAAGCCAACTCTTCAATCATAGAGACAAAACTAAACTCCTTCAAACTCAATCCTTCCCATCTCATCCATCGGTCGAGATAAGTGATAAGTAAACTGGATTTTGTTGCCCTTTCTGAATAGACAATTTGGATAAGATATCTGATGTGGCTGAATATGCCGTGTCAATATGGGTGCGCATTAGATACGTGGCCTAGGCAAAAGCCCACGCGAAGCAAAATAGAGTTCGCGTGTTGCATCAATAAAACATAATAATTATAAATTATAACTAACTAAATCCTTTCATGTAAAACCAAGACTTTAACCTATACTTCAACATGAAGCTCATCTGAAGAGTTCTCCCTATCTTTGGGAGTCCGGGCCGAAGAAGCCACAGCCATTCTTGCGGAAGCAGCGGCAACGAGGCGCAGCGACCATTCACATCATAAGGGGACCAAAGAAAATAACAAATGGGTTTGTCTGAAAATAGGGTATATTCCCAATTATAGCCATTTAATCGAAGGAAGTTTAGAAGTGAAACTTCCGACAATATGGACAGTTGAAAAGCAGAGGTGACAAGAGTCAGAAGAGAAAAGATCAGAAGAAAGAAGATGCAGATGCGCGAAAAGGTAGGAAAGTCGCGATTCACTGTGTTTTTCCAATGATTTGTGGCTCCGGAGGGTCGAAAAGTAGGCTCGCTAAAGCGGCGGGTGCGGAGCCAGCTGGCCGGAGCGAAAAAGTGCACGCCGTTGTGGCGCGAAGCACATTTCCAAGTCAAAATGACAAAATGACCACTTTTGGAAGTTGAGATGTCGAAAAAGTGCACGCCGTTGTGGCGCGAAGCACATTTCCAAGTCAAAATGTACAAAACACCGCAGCTCCGGACCACTTTTGGAAGTTGAGATGTTGAAAAAGTGCACGCCGTTGTGGCGCGAAGCACATTTCCAAGTCAAAAGTGTTAAAAACTGACGGTCTCGGACCACTTTTGGAGGTTCAGATGTCGAAAAAGTGTCGAAAAAGTGCACGCCGTTGTGGCGCGAAGCACATTTCGAAGTCAAAAGTGTAAAAAAACTGAGGGTTTTGAGCCTTTTTTGACGTGAAGATGTCGAAAAAGTAGACACTGATTAACTTAACTAACTTGACTAACTTAACTAACTTCACTAACTTAACTACCCTAACTTCGACGACAACAGCAACAGCAACAGCAACAACAACAACAACAACACCAACCACAACAACAACAACTACAACTACAACTACAAGAACTACACAACAACTACAACTACAACTATAACTACAACTACAACAGCTACAACAACAACAGCAACAACAACAACAACAGCAACAACAACAACAGCCACAGCAACAGCAACAACAACAACAACAACTACTACAACTACAACTACAACTACACAACAACTACAACTACAACTAGAACTACGACTACAACAACTACAGCTACAACAACAACAACAACAACTACTACTACAACTACAACAACAACAGCAATAACAACAACTACAACTACAACAACAACAACAAGTACTACTACTACTACTACTACTACTACACCACACAACAACTACAACCACACAACAACTACAACCACACAACAACTACAACTACAACAACTACAACTACAACTACAAAACAACTACAGCTACAACCATATGACTGCAACTACACTACACTACACTAATTACATTACACCACAACTACAACTCCACTACGCTACAACTACAACTACAGTTGCAGTACATCACACTACATCCAGCAGTTGTGGGTGAGGTGACCACTGCAACCATTGCAACCATTCCAGCAACACAACTCCAACCACCTTTCAGTCAATCAGTGGATTCGCTCTGCCATCCGTGATTCACAACAACCAACGTCTCCTATAGGTTTCCTATTCTGAAACTTCCGCCACCGCCTTGTGCGGTACTACTTGTAGGGATAATGATCAATAACCATTGGGTTTAGGGGTACACTATTTTCAGACACACCCAAATTGGCGAAATGGGAGGGAAACATGAAAAGAGCAAATCATTGATGAAGAAACACGATGAAAGAAAATATGAGGAACAGAAACAAACTCATTGATTAATGTCCCTATCCAAACTTGAGCATCTTGAGCCGTGTCAATGACATTCAGTGGCCATTGGGAATGTGTTGACTCCTTGCCAAGGCTTCCCAAGTAGGACATCCATTCACAGCACATTTTGTGCAAATGCTTCGTGCTGGCAGCTTTAAGATCAAAATAACTGGTCATTTAATGGATGTTGATCTCTCTACAGATATGTATGGATTATCAGGAGATATCCGATGGTGACGGTATCAGGTATCATGAGCTTTGACCCATCCCCAATGCAAATATATCCCGCAGCAGCGAATACTTTTCGAGTCCGTTCCAGATGCAGATGACGGCTTCCCAAGGAATCAGCAAGCCCAAAACCAACAGGAAGCTGTCTAACTGGCGAATGGCTCTTCGACCAGCACTGTTCAACTGAATTATATATAGCAGGCTTCCACGGCCAGGTTTGTATAAGACAATGCACGAGAAACACAATGGAATATCGTGGAATATCGCGGAATGATTCTGAGTAATTCTTTTCACACAAAGACAGTAATAACCTTCTAAAAAAACCTGCCATACCTCCTATCGCAACATCAGAATCAAAAAGCATTGTTCTGTACGAAGGTCGGAGCAAACACCACATAATCCTTGACCAGATAGTAGTTAGTGGTGCAGCCACTCTTGCCACGCCAGTTCTCAAGCCCAGAAGCGGGGGGCATCGGCTCCTTAAAAGTCGACTCATGTCAATGACAGATCTACACTTCTGGCCTGGCTTTCTGGGCCTCTTCGGGCCGCGACTGTTGCGACTGAATGATGTCGCCCGCTGGGTATTTCCGAAGATGCAGTGCCAACAGCAGCGTCATGATGACGGCTGGCAGGCACACAATGAGCAGGACGACATGCATGGCAGTCATATCCCCGGTCCAGGCCTTTGAGAGCTCGGTCAGAGGCACCATCAGGAGCGATGTCAGGAAGGTCAGGAACCACAAAATGGAATTGATTCGGCCAAAGGTCCGGTTGCCGAAAGTATGCCCAATAAATGTGAAGAAAGAGGCGAAGAGCAATCCGCGAAAATTGGTAAAAGCAGCAAAACCGACCACTTGCACCCCAAGGCTTGGAATCAACATCACCACATTCCAAATCAAACCCAAGAACAACACCACCAGAAATGTCACTGCAAAACCTCCTCTCTTCATGCAAATGTCGAAAAGAGGAATCAGCAGTGTTGATGCTGGAAGTAGAAGTGTGAGTACCTGTGTGTAGAGATTATCCACTTTTGCATCCCCAAGGTCTTGCAGCAGCTCTTTGATCACACCAAGATATGCGTTGCTTCGGAACACCATGGTCATCATGAAAGTTACCGCGAAGGCAAACTCCACGGTGCACAATTGCTCCCGCACTGAAAGCCCATGCAGCCGTGGCCGGGATGTTGATAGATTTTCTCGCTTGGATTCTGCCGCATCGCTTTCCTGTTGGTTAGTGGCATGTAATCTGGCGCTGGGTTTTCCACACCAACTGTATGCCAAACACATACTCAGAGCAAAGCAGAGTGCAGCATAACCGGTAAAAATGGCCCCACGCGACACTCCGGCCACGTACAATCGATACAGTCCCAGAGGCACCACAGATGAAGAGTCTACCAAGCAGTTGGCCACAGTCATCACCAAGGCGAAACGTGCGGGTGCAACAATGAAGGCCAGCTTTAGTGACTGGATCATCAGGGCTGTGCCACCAACCCCACCGATGACAAAGGCCAGCAGAAGCGGGTCCATCACATTTGATGGATTTCCATCTGTCCAACCCATCAGCAGCAAGGACAGAGATTGCAGCACGGCCCCCAGGATGCATAGAACTACTGGACCGGTGCGATCCACTAAGATGCCAAAGATTGTACCTTGGCAGGATCCATACATTGCCCGGCAAAGGTCTAGTAGGATCTGTCGGCATTGAGGAAAGTTTGCATATTGAAGGCCATCCGGAGGTAACTGGAAGCTGCTACAGGTGCTACAGCGAAATAAGGGATGGGTCAGCTTTAGATGGGTCATGAAGTAGAACTGATGCACAGGGCATGTGCAGCATTGCTACCAACATCTGCGGGAATTGAGACTGAAGCTTGTGCAAACATTGCGTTGCAACATTAACTGTGTTAGCACGAAGCAAAAGACCATCCAGGGAAGTTAAATCCAGTTGGAACGGAATCCTGGAGATCTTTGTCAGAATGAACCATCAGCAAAACACAAATAATTAGTTGTTTGCCCGGGTCGCAGTGTCATTGGCATACTGAAAAAAGAGTTCACTCAGTTCACTCACATCCATTGGACATCCATGTTGCCCTGTTCCACACGATCCTGGCCTCAAAGCATTGCCTAGTCCTGGCCTGAACAAGCTCTTTTTTCAAGAGTTTTCAAGAGGTTGCACATTGGATAATTAAAGATCAATAATGTACGAGTACTGCAACCAATGAAACACCTAAATTCAAGTGCACACCCAAGACAGCCTGCAAACATTACTTCCACACAAGCCCCAAATCTCAACAAATCTCAACAAATCTCAACTTGACAACCCAACCATACTCGATCCGCAGCTTCAGCTGATGCGCCCGAGAGAATCGTCACGGTATTGTCCACGCTGTACAGGAAGATCATGCGACTCCCACGATCTGAGCACAGGGGCTCTTCTGCTGGACACACTTCCCGATATACTCCATCCAGTTCGAAGAGGGCTTGCAAAGCAGCCCAGCCATAGAAGAAGTACGAGAAGAGAAATGTGACAGTAGCACCCAGAATCACCGTGGTCCATTCTCGAAGCCCTGGCAAGTCTTGTTCACGGGCCATGGCGAGAGGCAAAGAGCCAAGTCGCGAACCCCGAACCCTGAACCGCACAGTTACGCCCCACAGCGAGACTTGATGGCGGCCATGATGGCGGTAAAATAACAGATCAAATCTGATCAACAAACATCAAGAATAGATTCGAAAAAGGAGACATGTCAATTCTTGCACCAATGGCTAGGTCAACTCTTGACATCTCTTGACATCATGCCAAGTGGGCCAAGTAACAACGAATCTCTGCAAACATACCACGCTGCCTCAGCAGCCTTTTCGTCCAAGAGTGTTTCGAACATTTGCTGTTGCATTCTATCCCGCAAATGATCCGAATTATTCTCACATTCATCTCTCTCAAAGTGGAGGGCACCTTGAATTGTAGAATTAATCCAGTGGATGGCATGTCCGAACGACCCTACACTGGTATTGCAATGTATTGCATCGTTTAAACTCTTTTCAATGAGTCCAGTTCCAGCGAAGCATGCAATGCATAGCCAGCAAGCTCTCCATGGCTATGCTATGCTATGCTGCGTCAGGCCCATCCTGCCTTGAATTTTGACTCAAAAAGAAGCACTGTGTTGCTATGTGGCCCAAGGATTCCAAAGCGTATGATAGAAACATGAGACACAGAAGTTACAGCACATCAATCTACAGTACGAGTACTATACTCAATATATGAACGTGGCTTCAAATCTTCCAAAAGAATCTCTGCGATTATCTGCTTTATTCTGCTTTCATTAAGGTTGCCTGCCGGTTTGGGTCCCTGCGGAACATAGCTAGAACTCTGTTTTTTGCTTGTTTAGGTTTCTTCTTACTGTTATTCATCATATTCGGTGTTTTGCCAGATCTTTCTCCAAAATAAGCGTGTGGCTGAACATAGATCTGGTGTCATTGAATCAGCTGCTTTTCCACATAGCATTGCGTTTGCCAAAGGCATACTGCATGCCCAAGCTCCCTGTCGGATACGACCTCTGATTTCTTCAAACTTTACAAATAACGAGCATGGCGTTGTAATTTCTTTCTTCACACTGTATCACTGCTGCACTCATTTGCACTGCACACATCTAAATAACATCTTATAGTCTTCTACAACACCTGATGTAGTGACAAGAATGTTCTGCTGAAATATGATCAAAATACATCAGAATACCATAGACCGACAATTTTCATTCAATATTCAATATACAGTAATTATTCAAAATGTTCTATGAATATATATATATATATATATACTATGTCGCTATCTATACTGACAATGGGCCACGCCACGGGCTCAAGGCTCCAGTGGCTCCAGTGCCTCCAGCACCTGTGAGAGCTTGGAGGGCAGCGGTGCACGAGCCTCGAAGGTCGCAAACGTGAAATCCTTCATCCGCACCTAGGATCATCAGCAAAAGTCAACAAATAATGGGAAGATTCAATGGGATTCAATGGGATTTAATGGGATTTATTGGGATTTAATGGGATTTAATGGGATTTAATGGGATTCAATGGGATTTTGATGGTTGCATCATGTTGCATCATCAGTTACATCCCAGTATCCCATGAAGCATCATCATTGTTGTAGATTAATTAACAGAACAGGCCACCAGGGGAGTGCTGAAATAATGTTCAGCCAATCCGCCCGTGAGCAGTGCAGAAATAGCCGATCAGCGTAGGGAAACTGTTGGGGATCACGCCTCAGAGCGCAAAAATTGCGAGTTTGAGCATTGCTAAAGCATGTGGAAATGCCCAACGAAAGGTCATTGCCGAGCAACTTTGATCCGTAGGTCAAGTCCCCCACGATGGGATGTTCTATGCTTGCCATGTGAACCTCACTGTGATCTGTCAACGTGCTGGCCAACATTGGCAAAGCACAAGCCGATAACAACCCATGACAGCCATAACAACAACCCACAGAACAGGATCGCGTAAAAGAAAGGAGGACTGTGGGTAGCAAATGTTCTTTGCGTCATCAATCATCCCAAAGCAGTGCAAGGGGCTCGAATTTGATGCGTTCGCCCTGTGTGGGGCTGAACGGATAGAAGGCTCAGCTCAAGTGAAAGGTTCGCAGCGATATACAATGCCCGTACCTTGACAGCGGCTAGGATGCTGGATGTAATCAGTATCAGAGCAAATATGGCCCCAAAAAACAAAGAGCACTGATGCAAAGGGCGATACCATCAAGTTTAGACGTGGAAAAAATAGAAACAAACATGGTTCTGCCATGACAACGGGCCTCGTATTCAGTGCGTGCATCACGACCCATCTCCGACACTTCAGTACGCATTTGATCCCCTAGGCCGCTGTGTGGAGCAATGGATTGGTTCAGCCCAAGACAAGCAACAACTCACGGCACCCAAAGCAACCAAACCCTGTCACCTTGTCGAACATCGGAATTGCCTTGTAAAGGAACCACCTTGTGGGCAAGAGAAGTTTTATCAGCACCTTCACTTTCATATGCCTCCAAGGGCAACTCGGTGCAACCTTCTCGTTGCTGTACAGAGCCCCCTCATGTGAATCAATTAGAAAATATTGGTTAAGATTGGTTAAGTATGGCAAGGTGTGGTTATATATATATACTGTACGTACAGTATTTATATATATATATGGTTTCGAGAGTATTTCCCGGCGCCTTGGAAAGAGATTGCAACACGCTTTATGTATTCCTCAAAACTTCCTTCCACTTGTTACGAAATATGGTCTTATGTGGCCAGCTCATTGCATACAGATTGCGACAAGGCGGTGGTGACTGCAGCTACATTTGGAGAGTGCATGTAGTGAAGGCAATAGGTCAAACAGGGTCAAACAAAGTTTTGTGGTGTACTGTTTGCTAAGCCATTCCCAACGCAAAACCAGGTATATAAAACATTCCAAATCATTCCAATGATAGAACTGTACGCCCTGTAGGTTTGCTTCCTTTGCTCTGATGTATGCCACGCAGGTTGAAAGACTGTGAGTTTCATCCCCGACAAGATTGGACCTGGTTCCCGCAGCAAGCGAGCAAACAGCAGAAATTTGTTGAACGAGTGGCCAAGCAAAGCAATGTCCCCAGGAATAAGAAGTGCGATCGCGGGGGACTTAAAGGTAGGAATTGCTTGGAATTATAATTGCATGTATTAAAGAAAACATTTTCCAGAGCAGAGGGTTCTCAGCATTTCTTGTTCGGCAATTTCACCATAGTTGTCTCAATATGTTGAAATATAGTATTGCCTGCGCTGCAGACCATTCAAGCAAGCAGTCACACCTACCCATGTGACCTAAAAGATCAATTTGCTCGAAGGTGGCTATATCAAATGCCCAGCTCTGCTTTTGCTGACTGCATATTTTTGAGTGTTTCCAAGCGGGTTTTGTCAAGTCGAGCCCCACATCCCCAAGCAGAGCAAGCGATCTCACCTTGCAGAATAGACGTGTTTCGCATTTTCTTCATCGGGGCATGTTTCACAAACAACTGTAGTATGTAGTAAAACCCCTGCACTGCCTCGACCTTTTAAGCAGCTACTCTCCAGACTTGCACTCAAGATCAGGCAAGTCTCCATTTCTGATCGTCAACAAAGGCGTTGAGATCTTCCCAGAGAATCCAAGCTCTCCAACTCTGCCTTCAACCAAGCAAATGTACTCCTGCAGGGCAAACCCTCGTAAGCCAGCTCGGGAGAAGCAGGAAAGCCTATCTGACCCCGTGGAATGTGATTCAATATCAAAACTAGTTCCACTTCCAAAGCTGGTTTAAACATGTTCAAACATATGAGTAGCGGACAAAATTTCCTTTGACTCGAAAAGGACATAGCTATCCCCGTGTGCCAGAGGGTGAGGTGAGGCCCCTAAAACAACAAAATAAAATGCAAAGGCCTAAGAACGACATATAAATAAAATGATGGGGCATAATGTAAGATAGCAAAATACAAGCAACACACACTAAAAGAAAATGGGGTCAGGCCCCAAGTGGCAACTGTTGGTATTGTTTCGTCCCTTGGTTGATCTTGTTATCCTTGGCAATTTCACTGGGAAACCCAAAAGATGACAAGATATGGCAAGGCCCAACCTCCAACATACGCATCTGCGCATCTGCGAAGCAAATATCATGTTTTGTACCGGGCCCATTGATCTGTACAATGGATTATAATGGATTGTTTTCCCCAGCTGCCAGGGCTAACAAATGTTGTTTATAATGTCCATTGGGAACATGACCAGTAACCAGGCTCAGATATTTTTTGTCACAGTACCCACTCCTGCTAGAATCAAATTAGATCGACAGCAACTGTTGCTTCAGTTTCATATGTGCCATGATGTCCAAATATCTGACAAAAATGCAGAGGATCAGACTGTTCACAGCTGTGCATCTCTGCTAAGTTATGTCTTATGGATTAGGTTCCTTTTAAAAATGCACCCAAAAAATAAAAATGCTGGGGTCTGACGCATTCAAAAATCTATATTTTTTTGGGGGGGGTTCCAGTCCCCCATCGTATTTGGGCACACCAGTGGGGGATCATAGCTAAAGTGGGTGGCCCCCTATTGGTTGTGAAACATGTTATGTGTAAAAATAGGGTATCGGTAAGAGGATGGTCCCTATGGATTGTGAAAGTTTTGACGCAAATTTCAACATCCCAAGTCCGCGTCCTATTACTTGGACACATGTTATCGGATAGTATTGCAGTTTGTTTCATGGGTATGAACTTCCATCAAATTCCCAACCCCCATGGCCCATTGGCCCATATCCGCCATATCCTTCTCCACAAGTCTGCCAGCAAATTGAGCCTGGAGCCAGTTCACCGCCGTTGAGCCATCGCCACCCAGGGCTAGAGGCAAAACGCCAGACGTCGGCTGGTCCAGTCGGGAGACCAAGTACAAAGGCCACTGGAACCCGACTCTTTCCAGCGAAGCCACCAACTCCTCAGTCCTGGCAGGGCCCAGGAAATTCAATGGAAATTCAATGGAAACTCAATGGTAACTGAGAAATTCCATGGAAACTCAATGGAAACTGAAGAAACTCGATGTATTTTTACAATGGAAATTCCATGAATCAATGGAAAATCAATGGAAACTCATCCAATCCCCCCGTCCTCAGCCCCGCAGGTTTCATGACTGCCAGGATCCCAGGAGCCGACGCCAAGACTGTGCAAACTGAGGCGATCTGCTCAAGGCCTGGACGCGGTAAACTCGGTAAACCTGCCACTGTTTCCTACCCTTTGGGGATGGTTTACATTATCATAGCATATCCATCTTATATCCATAAACAAGATGGAAGCCACGAACCCGAATGTATTCACGTTCTTGGACTACGAGTCCAAACCTCTGCAAAAGGAAAACGAACCTTTTTTTGCATGCATCGTGCGCTCATATCGTCTCAGCGAAGGCACCTGAGCAACAGTTCACAAAGAGACAGCTAACCAGCACAACAACATCACCACCAGCACAGCAACATCACCACCAGCACAGCAACATCACCACCAGCACAACAACATCACCAGCGCAATGAAATCACAACGAAATCACCAGCGCAACGAAATCACCAGCTCAACAAAATCACCAGCACAACAGCATCACCAGCGCAACAAAATCACCAGCACAACGAAATCACCAGCACAACGAACTCACCAGCACAACGAAATCACCAGCACAACAACATCACCAGCACAACGAAAGCACACAGCACAACGCAATCACCAGCACAAAAAAACACCAGAACAAACGACATCACTAGCACAACGAAATCACCAGCACAACAAAATCACCATCACAACAACATCACCAGCACAACGAGATCACCACCACCTGCCACACTCCACAATTTACCCAGTGCACACTCCACACTCTAAGCACTTCCCACTCCACACTCCACACTCTACACTCTACACTTTCCACTGTACACTCCACACCCCACACTCGACACTTTCCACTCCACACTTTACACTCCACACTCCACACTTTACACTCCACACTCCACACTCTACACTTTACACTCGTCACTTTACACTCCACACTCCACACTCTACACTCCACACTTTACCCACTGCACACACTCCACACTTTACACTCCACACTCCACACTCCACACTCCTCACTCCTCACTCCACACTCCACACACTACACTACACTCCACACTCCACACTTTACACTCCACACTCCCCACTCCACACTCCACCACACCCTATACTCTACACACCACACTCCTCACTCCACACGCCACTCTTTACACCCTACACTCCTTACTTCACACTCGGCACTCCACACTCTACACTTTGCACTTCACACTCCGCATTCTACACTTTACACTCCACACTCTACACTTTACACTCTACACTCCACACTCCACACTCGACACTTTCCACTCCACACTCAGCACTCCACACTCTACACTGCACACTGCACACTCCACACTCCACACTCCACACTTTACACTTTACACTTTACACTCCCCACTCCACACTCAACACTTTACACTCCACATTTTACACTCTACACTTTACACTCCACACTCCACACTCTACACTTTCCACTGTACACTCTACACTCCACACTCCACACTCCACACTCTGCACTTTACACACTCTACACTCCCCACTCCACACTTTACACTCCACACTCCTTACTTTACACAAAGTTTGCACAAAGGACTTCCCAGTACTACTTTGTGGTAAAAGCTTGCACAAAGCACTTCCCAGTACTACTGTGTACTACAAAGCTTGCACAAAGCACTTCCCAGTACTACATTGTGCTACAAAGCTTGCACAAACTACTTCCCAGTACTACTTTGTGCTACAAAGCTTGCACAAAGCACTTCCCAGTACTACATTGTGCTACAAAGCTTGCACAAACTACTTCCCAGTACTACTTTGTACTACAAAGCTTGCACAAACTACTTCCCAGTACTACTTTGTACTACAAAGCTTGCACAAACTACTTCCCAGAACTACTTTGTACTACAAAGCTTGCACAAACTACTTCCCAGTACTACTTTGTACTTCAAAGCTTGCACAAAGTACTTCCCAGTACTACTGTGTACTACAAAGCTTGCACAACTACTTCCCAGTACTACTGTGTACTACAAAGCTTGCACAAACTACTTCCCAGTACTACTTTGTACTTCAAAGCTTGCACAAAGTACTTCCCAGTACTACTGTGTACTACAAAGCTTGCACAACTACTTCCCAGTACTACTATGTACTACAAAGCTTGCACAAACTACTTCCCAGTATTACTTTGTACTACAAAGCTTGCACAAAGTACCAGAACGAGGTTCTGCAGCTTCCCCCATAGACACGGCGACGTCAGCGCATCAAAACAACCGAGGTTTTGCAGCTTTCCCCATAGACACGGAATTAACGACGCGCAAATGACGCGAAAACGTCGCGACGACCAACTGGCGGCGAACAAGGGTCCAGCCCCCAGACCCCCAGACTATAAACGGGAACCCTTCGCTACGCATTCGGGAAAAAAATGATGACTTGGGGATGGTGTCATATTTTTTCGCATGGTTTACGACATTATCTATGCTTGATTGTCCGTGTGGTTGTCCCGATTGCCATAAACTGGGATATATATTTGATTATATTTGGTATACAGTATACATATCCAATTTTCAAACAAACCCATTTGGTTGCATCTGGCATAGCCATCAGAACAAAAAATGAGATTAATCCCATGACCCAGTGTGACCCGTGGTACCCTCTGAGTCAGTCTTTAGCGCAAAGGGCATCATTTGATTTACTTTACTCTACAGAATCATGTGGGTCTATGAGCATACTGCATACTCTTACGCATGAACGCCCCGCATCACCAGCAACATCTTCTCCCAACTTTGCCAACACCCCAACCAACAAGAGTTCTCAGATGTTCTCAGGTTCAAGGTCAAGGTATTTGGTGGCTTATGGTTTCAATCAACTTGAAAAAACAGTGGTTCGGGTTTTATATATACAGTAAGTCCTAGCGATTTAGGGTTGGGCTTCGGGGTGGAGAGGTGCTGCACACAGCAATCCTCCCGGTGCATGTCAGCACTGCTTTAGAACTGCCGAGAAGACTCAGCCGCGTGCTGCGGGCAAACGGCTGTTTGCCTGTTCTTATTCAATTATGTTTATTTCACTCAAATTATCTGAAATTAGGAGTACATCTTTGAACCTTGAATCTTTCATAATCTTTCCAACCGCAGATGGATGGCATCAGCAGGGTCCTTGAGCTACTGGCTGGGAGTGATCCAGCCGAAACCAATATGGGAGGAGCTCGCTCAACAGCTCCTGGGCCCTCCTCTTGTCGCGCAAGGCTCCCAGGGCCGAACCCGCGATGAGGCCAGTGGGCACCAGGCGCTTTCGCCTCGATCATCGGGTCCCCCAAAAAAGAACTCGAGCAGTCAAAGGATGTCAGAAGAGAACATTTTCTGACTGGATTCTGAAGTTTCCGTGTTTTTCTAGGGGTTGGCGTGCAGGCACTTGTTAGGGGAATACTGGCAATCCTGCAATCCTGCCTTTTACAGTTGACATTGAAGACCAGTCAAATGATGTCGCTTAAGGACTAGGACTAGGATCTTCTGTGCTTGGGCCAAGGAACAGCATTTCATCCAGCAGATTCATAGCAAAGGTCCATGCAGCAGCTGCATCACAGGCACTCATGGCGGCCCCATAGGATGCAATTGTTGGCTCCAAGGCAACTTCAGACATCCTTTTTTTCAGAGTGTGGAAAAAAATATGAAAACATATGAAAACGTTTCTCTTTAGACTTAACCCGCCCTGAGCCTAGAATCCTAAAGTCAATGGTTGAGAGATGGTGGGAGGCAGCTGACAGAGAACAATCTGATGAATGGTGCAGTGGGGTTCCAGCAGCTCAGGTGTCAATGGCGTGTCAACGCTCCTTGCAATCATGGTCAAAGCAGACGTCCAATAGCCAGCTTTCTCCAATGCGCTGATAGCTGTGGTGTAGGTGATCCTTGCCAACGAGGCAAATAGCCATGCGACAGTCATGAAGAACGAACATCCCTACCAAGTCATAAAGAATGATATAATATGTTTCTATATCACACCGTTACCACTATTATAATATTATCTATATAATATATATATATATATATATGTGTGTGTGTCACATACGTCATTCTCATGGCAACAAATAGAGTATCAGAGTATATACATTTATGATTATATGTGATATATGTATATATACATATTATATGCATGTATTATGTGTGCGATCTCATTGCCCAATGGATATCCAAACCATTCCAAACCATATTGTTTGCGTTCAAGCAGCTCATTGGCTTCAACCTTCTCACCCATCATGATCCTAAGCAATTCCAAAGATTCTTCCCACTTGTAGCACTCTTGGCATGCGCTGATTGCCTTGGGATTTTTTTCAGCAGCACTAGGGCACTGTCCGGAGGAGGAGCATGTCTTGATTCTTCTATTTCATCTCATATGCTCAATCCCTGAACTCTGAACATGTTTGAACATCTCTGAACCCTAAGCCTTTTGATGAAACAACTGTGACCAGTGCTCCGTTGAACAGCATCGCACAGCGTCCGCCGAGGGGCTGCACTGTAGGTGATCGTGTCGCCTTGAAGCGACAGCTGACTGGCAGAGTTCAAGAGGAGCAACGCACGCTGCCACTGACCGCCTGAAACCACGGCAGATCACGGCAGCTGCAGAGGTGCTGCAAAATGGCCATAATATGTTGGAAGATGATGGAACTATGGAACATGATACTTCTGTATACTTCTGTAACCAATGGATTTGGGATTATTGGGGGTATGCTCAGCTCTCGGAGAAACGTATCTAAGTTACGCTGACAATGTGGACGGCCTTCAGGAAGCTTCTTGGCTTGAGTCTGTCAGTCTATTGATCTATTAATTATTTGGATCCGTCTTTGCATCCTCATAAGATCATCCTTATCATACTTGTTCAGGCCACGGAACGGAGTTCAACACATATTCTTTGAAACCAGCCACCCTCACAAGGGTGATTGACTTCATCTTGAGACCGGCCTTTGTCACAAGCACTAACTGCCGCATTGCAACACACCAAATTCATCTCAATGGTGGACTCCACCATGCCTGCAGCCATGCAATGTTCACTCTGAAACAAACAGAAACAAACCATCAACGCCAATCTGGGGGGTTCTTCAAGTGAGGGTACCCAACAGCTGGATGGTTTAGAATGGAAAATCCTTTTGAATGGATGATTTGGGGGTAGCACAATTTTAGGAAAGCTCCATATGCGCGGTCCACTGCCAGTTTTGTACCCCAGTCGATTTATTGTTGTAGCCACTGCAGCCTATTTCTGCCGAGGTGCTGTTCATCAAATGCAGGGCTTCCATCCAGTAGCCATCTTGCTCGCAGGCACTTATGGCAGTCCCATACACCACCACATCCTAAGCACGCGCGCATGGTTCGCGCATGGACGACGACATGTTGACTCGTCATGACTCGTCATCTTCCCATCATCCCAGGCCGAGCTTCAGCCCTGACACTGTCCATATGCATCTGACGCAGCAACTCCAGTGCAACTTGCCATTCACCACCAATATCACACGCCTTGATCAAGGAGCTGTAGAGAATTTCGTTGGCTTGGAGCTGTGCGAGGCCTTAATTCGTTGGCGCACTCCTGTGTGATCCTTCTGCAACAACTGCAACTGCCTTTTGTGGCCATGTTGGTTATCTAAAGGAGTGGCATGTCCAGATGCGGGACTCTGAGTCCAACATTGTAACATGGAAATGCAGATCGCATCAGACAAGATAAGACAGGCATAATTATTGGTTGTCCCCTTGCATCAGCTTACACTCCCTACACATGTCCTTTCTATGTATTCCAATTGTGCATGCTAACGCGCCTGTTGCACATTGGCGCTCACTTGACCAAATGCCAAACTCGCAAAGTTCGAATCCCATCATGACGCATGTTTCCACTGCAAGCCGGTCGACATCCAGAATCCATCATGTCAATTCAGTACAGTTAGCCTACATTTACAATCTAATATGGAAAAGGGCCAAAATCACCTAGCATCACCTAGCACAAGTGTGACATCACATCAGTGTGCCAGCATGCTGCCAAGGGCACGCAAATCCTGAAAAAAGAAAAGCGCTCGTTCCCACTGCCCGCTTGCCCCGCAAGCATGCGTAATAGAGCCATAACTGATAATATCTGGGCGGATGTGCAGCACGCGCATCCTGTACCAAGATCCGCCAAAGACTACCCAGAAGATGCGAAACATGCAAAACGCAACCAACGGTGCCCTCTAAACATGTTTATGTCTGTTCTGTCTTTGCCCTCTCTCTCCTCGCTGATGCGTCTGTCTCTCTCTCTCTCTCTCTCTGTCTCTCTGTCTATCCCTCTCCCTCATCTCTCCCAACTGAGCACAGCATCTCCTTTCGAAAACCTGAAGTGATGCTTCCCAGCTTTTTTTTCCACATGCTACAATGGCTGCATTGTAGCTGATCTCGTCTGGCGTTGCCTGACACGCAAGGTCGCCAGCTTCAAACTATCGATGAAACAATACTGCACAAAATCATCTTCTATGATCACCTCTACCAAAGTTCCCTCTATCTTTCGCAATTACATGCAATTACCATGAAATCCTAAGTCCGCAACCTGGATGCAGCTTCCACATCCTCTCCCCTCTCAAAAAAAACGCAACTTTGCCCTCCATGGACTCAAATAATCCCCGGGTTCCAATCGGGTCCTACCTTCATTTTGAGCAACGCATCCAGAAGAGCAATAGCTTGGTGCCAATGTCCACCTCCCAACATTGGGACGTTGAAGAAAAAAACGCAGAATCGCTAGGGCTGGAGAAAAAAAAGACCGGAAACATCCGGAAACAATAATAACATGTTAGAATCATCTTGATATCTGTCCAATGACAATGACAATAATGACAATCATTGATAATCTATATAATCTATACCTTCAGACTCACAGCAAGACTGGAACCTGCCAGCGAGAACAAGTGTCGTGAGTTTGTCCAACGAGCGGCCAAATGTTCCTCCTAACATCTCCTAACCTAAATGACTGTGAGTCACATTTTAAGACCCTGGCAAATCCAAAGATTTTGCCATAAGCTGCAAGCCATCCCATTTTTCCTGCCTAGTTCTGATGCAAGCCTAAAATGAGGCATGTTAGTTACAGAAGGGAATTCATGGGAATTCTATTGTGTTCCAGTTTTATTGCCCGGTTGAATCCCCATCATAGCTGGTAAACCCTGATGGCTCCTAATGACTCCTCCACTCACGACTCTGCAAAGGCCCGACCTCTCTTGCAGGCACTTACAGCTGCGCCGCATGCAGTACCCGGCGGAAGCACCTGCGGTGGGAGGGTGTGTCGTCAGGTAACCTGATTTTCAGTGTGCAGGATAAGCTATGGCATATGGCATGATAAGCTTCCGGTTTTGCCAAAATCCTACGTTTTTAAGTGGTAAGTGGCGTAGTTTGCTGGGTAAGGGGCGCAGCATTGCACACACCAGCTTTAAACTTGGAAAATTCAATGTTTTCATGCATGATTCCGTCGAAAACCATTTGCGCACACACGCACGACATACAATGCACATAAAGGATCATAAAGGCACATAATATCACATTAACCAACTTGAGTAATCCTGCATCCTGCGCTGAATTCTTTGACACTGGGATCATGCCCTTCACCTGTCGTTTGCTTCATGGGTTTTTTGGTCTTCAGCAAACTCCGCCCTCTTGCATACCATTTTGGCAATGTGCTCATCCCACACTGGCATGTTGCTCTTCAGTCGCTGATTAGGCGCTAGCAAACACCAACAGCTGTAGCATTTTAACAACAATTTGGAACAAAGCCACTTGGATCTACTGGGATATGATTCAGGGATCATCTTCCAATGACACTTTTCATCACTCAAGATAAATGCTAGTGGGCCAGTGGTGTTTTTTATTGAAGGGGCTGAAATTGTGCACCCTTAGTTTAAGGGCCCAAATTTAGCACAGGTGCGGGGGTGGGGGGGATTCATATCAAT